TAACACACACACACACACACACACACACACACACACACACACACACACAAACTTAGGCTATAATTCCTACCTTTAATACATAAACTATCATGTATTAATATCTTAAAAATGGAAAAAAATGATTCCAATACTTTATAGGAGAGAAAGCCAATAAATGTATGCATTAGTTTATTCATGGTAATTTCCAAACATTGATGCAAGTGTATGCTCATGGAAGTACCTGAATTTCAGACTATCAATAGATTTCTTGACTATTTTACTACAAAAATAAATTTAAAAATTGACTTGATTTTACACTTATGGTGCCTATTTCCTGACTTCATGTGAAAATTAAAATAAGTTGAATAATTTGACAAATTGCAGATTTTTACTTCTAAGTAGCTACTAATTTGAAGGTTGTCAATATAAACCTTAGTAATGAGGCAAAATATATCACGCTAACGCTTGATTTGGCCATTCCACAATGTATACATATAGCTAGACATTTGATTGTACACCATAAAGACACACAATTTTTGTCAATTAAAAAAATAAATAATTTTTTAAAACAAAAATATAGGCCGGGTTCGATGGCTCAGCCTGTAATCCCAGCACTTTGGGAGGCCGAGGCGAGAGGATTGCCTGAGCCCGTGGGTTCGAGACCCACCCGGGCAACTTGGCGAGACCTCATCTCTACAATAAATCAAAAATTAGCCAGGTATGGTAGCGCATGCCTGTAGTTCCAGTTACTTGGAAGGCTGAGGCAAAAGGATCGTCAGAGTCCAGCAGGTGGAGGCTGCGGTGGCAGGGAGCATGCCACTGCACTCCAGTTTGGGTGACAGAGTGAGACTCCAACTCAAAAAAAAATAAAAATAAATTAAATATATATATATATATATAAAGCTTAATAAAAATTATTTTAAAATTTTGTAGCAAATTAACTTTTAACTATATACATACAGTCCTAATTTACCTTCTCAAATGATGTTTTTAGAGTTTTAAGCACAAAATGTTATTTCCTGACCTGGTTGTATAGGCTCATATTTCACAACTGTTAACAGATCACAGAAATGAAAGATCAGCTCTATTTTTCTACTATTAATATTTATTTATAATATATGGAATAGAATAGAAATATAATATATGGACATATTGCTATATTTCTACAAATTTATACATTATACCACCAACTTGCTATTTATAACTAAGATGTCAGGTAGTTATAACACATAGAGAAGTAACTAAATATAATTTTAGAAAATGACAAAGTTGTTCTTTGGTATGGTACAATGTTAATATTTGATAAATCTAGGTAGTGATAATAGGTGTTTATTATATCATATTTATTTGCTATTAATAATTATATATACTATAGTAGTCACACATTTACATGTATTTACATATAAAATATGTATATATTTATATAAAAATAAAATGTATATAAATAATTTTAATATGTTCTTGGTATTTAATCCATATTATTATCAGATTAAAAAACGTAAAATTTTTTTTTTCTTTATTTTGTGTCTCTCTAGTCAGAATGATCTGATAGATTTGCAGAGCAAAATTCATTTTAAATTTAAATTCAGCAAGTAAAAAATATCCTTTGCTGAAGAGAGAGAACATTTTGAGCTTTTTTTTTTTTGAGTTGGAGTCTCACTCAGTCGCCCAGACTGTAGTGCAGTGGACACTCCCGGCCACCGCAGCTTCGACCTGCTGGGCTCCGACGATCCTTCCGCCTCCGCCTTCCAAGTAGCTGGAACTACAGGTGCGTGCTACCACGCCCGGCTAATTTTTTGATTTACTGTAGAGATGAGGTCTCGCCAAGTTGCCCAGGCGGGTCTCGAACCTGTAGGCTCAGGCAATCCACTCACCTCAGCCTCCCAAGGCACGGGATTACAGGCTGAGCCACCGAGCTCGGCTATTTTGAGCTTTTTAAAGTAACTATTATTACATAAGTGTCTACAGTTCCAAAAGGTTTTCTGTGTAAAACATTCAAGTCCCTGGAACAAAATTTGGCCTAATGGAGATAAACATATTCATCAGTTTTTCTCTGGAATTCTCAATAAACACATTATATATTCTTCCTAGTGAGCTGACATTTCAAGTTAACATAAATCATGATGTTACTTAAAAATGATGGGAGGCTGAGGTGAGTGGATTGCCTGAGCCCGCGGGTTCGAGACACACCTGGGCAGGTGAGACCTCATCTCTACAATAAATTAAAAATCAGCTGGGCATGGTAGCGCACGCCTGTAGTTGCGGCTACTTGGAAGGCTGAGGCGGAAGGATCGCGGAGCCCAGCAGGTCGAGGCTGAGGTGGCCAGGAGCGGCCACTGCACTCCAGTCTGGGCAGCAGTGAAACTCCAACTCAAAAAAAAAAAAAATTATAGGATCATACCCAAACATGTTAATAAGTGAGTTACATGAAGCAATTTTCAACATTACTATAAAATCATTTGTGGAATTATCAGAATTATTTTTACAAAAATTTGCGTATATTTAAACATATGCTCAGTTTCACAAATCAAAAGTATATAAGGGAGAGTCAAGCACTGGTAACACTCCTCCCCGAAAAATAATCATACCTAAATATTAAAGATGATTAGCCATCTCATCTTGGTAAGTCACTTTATGGCCCCAGTAATTCAGAGATAATTGTAGATTTTTATATATTAGAAGTTACTTTGAAATTTTAATAACAATTCATAAAAGGATTCTATATTGCCTCAAAGAGGCATTTTCCTAACCTCTATTACATTAGCCAATCTAAAATGATAAATAAACTCCTTGAACTTCTACCCTGTTAAATCTGAGATCATTTCTAGCACAGTTTTGACAATTAGGAGACAAGTTTAAAAAAAATTATGTTCAAATCCCAGACATTAGAAGGACACTCAAAGTAGCTGACAAAAGCAAAGAAGAGCTCTGCAGAGAATCAGAAAAATATCTGAACAAATTCAGGTAAAAAGTTGGACAGCTGAATGTTGTAGCCAGTGCAAAGAAAGGTGGGTTTACTGCCTGTATATATATGCCACTACTTGAATACTTATGTACATGAATTTACATATGTGCTTGATGTTAACTTCTTAGTGTAACTTCTGTCATTTGATATGAAAGGTAAAATTCCAATGGAGATGCAACAATGATAATGTAAAGTATTGGGAGTCCACTGTATGTGACATTTTGAGAGAAAGGAAGGGCTTTACAAATATAAATATAGAAGCCATGTAAATATCTGTGATCATTTTGCTAATCATATATGATAGACATCTTCCTCTAGTAGTTTCATTGATACTAACCATGTCTACATTTTTTTACATGAAGATTTCTATATTTGTACAATTCCTAGTACATTTGTAATTCCATAAATATATGTGGGAAGATTCCAACCCACAAGACTGATAAATTGCAGAATTTATGAGACTGACATGTCAACACATATGAAGCATGTCATAAGCCTTATTTTCTAGTTTTTGATGTTTTGATGCCAGGTAGATAAAGTCAATTAAAATAAATGTAACCATTAAAAAAAAAACTTTAGCTCTATGACTCAGTTAACAGGGACATTTTTCTAAAAGCTAAATTTACATTATCTTATTTGGTCTCAAGATTCTGATCTCATATACTTTATATTTCCTTCATGAAAAGTAATGTAGAGTCAATGGGAACACCACAGATGAAATACAAGTTAAATACTGCCTTACACATTGAAATAATCAAGATAACAAAGTCTATTCCACTTAAAGAGAGAATAAAACTTTCATTTTGCTTAGTGTTTGTTATTGTTACTTTATTTTGTTTTTTACTCTAAAATACTGATAAGAGGGCAAAAGACACACTTATCTTAAAATAATTTAAGCATAATATTTCTAACCAATCAAATTAAAGTATTAAAAACTAAAACAGCAAGTATAATCAGAGAAGACAGGATCACCAGGATTTGAGCCCTACTCTTTCACTTATTAGCTGAGTGATTTTGAGAAACTTGTTTACGTATTTTGAACCAGTTTCCTCATTTTAACATGAGCAAAATAATAACACTATCTACTTTACACAGTTGTTACTGGAGAGTAAAGAATAAAATGGATCTGAATATAGTTTTGTAAAACTGGAAAACGATATATGAATTCATTGAGGTATTATCAAGTAATGATTTGGTTTGAGAGACAAGCCGTTCAACATATAGTATAATCAATCTGCTTCAATATACTTACCTTAACTAAAATGTTTAACGTAAATAAACATTCAAATAAGTTGTATAACTGCCAATCTCCTCTTCCCTTTTAATAAACTTTAACACAGCTTCAAGTTAAGAAAAGTTAATATATTTTACAACCAAGAACGATAACTTAACTTTTTTATATTTAATTTTTTTGAGTCAGAGTCTCACTCTGTTGCCCAGGCTGAAGTACAAGGGCACACTCACCACCACCACGGCCTCGACCTGCTGTGCTCAGGCAGATTGATCCTTCCGCCTCAGTCTTTCAAGTAGCTGGAACTACAGGTGCGTGCTACCATGCCCAGCTACTTTTTTGATTTATTGTAGAGACGAGGTCTCACCAAGTTGCGCGGGCTGGTGTCGAAGCCCTGAGCTCAGGCAAGCCTCTCGCCTCGGCCTCCCAAAGTGCTGGGATTACAGGCTTGAGCCACCACACCCAACCGACAACTTTATTTTTAAGATACATATTTTCTAGTATTTTATAATCTTGCTTTAGTATATATTTTGGTCAACTAACAAATTATCTATGTGCTTCTAGTTAAACATTATAAATAAGACTTACAAGTAGAAAGAAAGGTATTTATTAAACTTCTAAGTCAAATTTAATCTTTTCTTTTTTCTTATTTGATGCAAACACAATAACAGTGTAATACATTCTTTCTCGGCAGTACAAAATAAACTACCATTTTGCTTTTTCTATACTCTTTAACTGAATAAGGCTTTTTAGATATAGCTAAATATAATTACAATATAAACAAACACAACAATCAAAGAAAAAAATACTTGCAACAAACCATACCTAGTAATAAGAACTGCATTATCGTGGTGGGCAATCCCATTTTCTGGAATGGTGTTTCCATCACTTTGGTGGGAGAGAATGGATTTCTGCCATTTGCAGAAGCTATCGAGGGACTTGTCTGCATGGTGATTTATCTCCAAGTTTGGCTGCAATACAACATGCATACCAGAAATGTTCCAAACAAATTACTAAGGTCAGTTATTAAAACTTTTGAAGACTAAAATGGGACTATAATTAGAAACAGTAGTTTCTAGGAATAATATCATGCTTATTCTTTTCTCTATAATATCTGACCTAGAGCTCATTTAGTATTACAAAATAGACATTCTTTTCAGTTCCAGCTTTAAATAGTATGAACATACATGAGAATATCAGCATACAAAACCAAGAAAAACCATTATTATAACGCAAATGCTCGTCCTTTCACTGAAAGAAACATAGAGCTAATATACATATATATGACTTTAATATGACATAAGAAGTATATTTTTATAAAATATTTAAATTGTTTAAAATATTAAATGTCTAGAGGTAAAAATCATATTTAACTACAACTTCCTAAGAGGAGTACTAATAAAACATTACTTAATAATAGCAATTCTATAGCTTGTCTGTTAAGAATTTTAGATTTATAAACTAATTCATTCTTACCTGATCTTCTGTGAGAACAATTAAGCGGGCCACTATAATATTCACAACGTTTCCTAGACTGGAATCACGATAAAGTTTGGCAACCTGACCTCCAGAAAATAAGAAAAGACACAAAGTCAGACAAAAATTAAAGAGTGATAGTCTGATTTTTTTTTAAGTGGTAAAAAATTTTTTAATGAATTTAGCCACTGCACACATTAAAAAGGATTATTTTACCTCATATCACTTAGAACTCTACCTTCAAGTTTCCTTGATAAAAGGTTTTTATACAAGTCTATCTCAAGAAATATTTTCTCCTAGACACGAACCATAACACAGAAATTAGAGGGTGAGCTGGAGTTTCAAGTTAAAAAAAAAAAACTCTTAAAGAAGATTTAATAATCTATTAAAAATATATTATCTGAAAATGATAAGGGCACCTTTAAATTTATTTTCTATGGAACAGAAACATTGCTAGACCAATATTTTCACCATTTTAGACAGGTGAATTGTTATTATTTATTTCATAGTAAACATGTATAACTTTAGTCATGATCTTTAGTCAAAAACACATAATACAAAGTAAAATATTATATAGAGGGATCAAACTTACAATATTCATCACACTCAAAATGTAATGTTCAATGTCTTTGCGGCCATGGTAGCCCACCATCATTTTGTCTGCCACTACCAATGTCTCCACAAACCGTTCAATGCTCACTGATCTCTTCTGTCTGCGGTGAATATGTGTGTCTTTAATTGGTAGTGAAGAAGGAAAAGCAGATGTATCATTCAGCCACCAAGGCCTGTCATTTCTTGTTAGGTCTACAATAAAAACAACCAGTTCAGATAGGTACACTAATTAAGCATAATCATTTACTAGATAGTTTATGTAGATGAGCTTTTCATGAATTAGCTAATGTATTAAAATTTCCAATGTAAGGAAAGGAAATAAGAAAATGCAGCAGTGAGAAAAAAGAATTTTTCAGTTTTCAAAATAATCATGTTATCTGAAAAAATTAAACACTAATAACATTCAATTGCTCATGAAAACAAAATAAATTTAAGAAATGAGTTATTTAATAAGAAGAATTTTCAAATAATCACCTCATGGTATTCCAGTAATTACATCACACCACATTTAAATTTAGAATATATAATTTAAATAATCATTTATAGTTGTTTAAAAAGCAACAAGAGTATGAACTTTTCAAACTTTTCTAAGACAGCTCTGATGGAGAAAACTAATGATGCAAAAATCTATTCTTAAGATGCTTTTGAGCATTTATTTCAAAGTAAGATGCTTTTATCAAACTATCTTAATTAGAACCAATTCTACTGGTCTAGAAATTTCAATTCTAAAAGACAATGAATTACATTTTTCACTTAGTTTTGCAGTCTACAACATTTATACTGACAAGCGTTCTCAAAGTACTCCATTTTCAAAGTCTTGAGGTAAGAGGCAGTCAGATGAGAGTTGAACGATTACAATTCCAACATAATTTACTTTGAACCACATTTAGTGAATTGATGCCTTATTTTTTGTTTTCTAGATATTTGGTAGTATAGTATAGTATAGTATAGTATAGTATAGTATAGTATAGTATAGTATGGTATGGTATGGTATAGTATAGTACTATGCATTTGTAAACACTTGCCACATCAATATTCATGTTCATTAGATAAATTTGAGCAGTCAGAGGTCTTCTGCATACCTCACTTCTGTATCCTTATATTGAAGAGAGAATCTTTCTTACCTCTACTTACTAAAAAATTTAGTGGAAAAAATTAGATTAATATACGATATACCTTACAGGATGTGGCGCTATCGTTTTATTTTTCTAACTTCTTTAGCCTTTCTCTTTTAAAAACTTCATTGATAGGTGCTATGGTTTAAATATCCTCTCAAAACTCATGTTGGAGTTTGATTTCTATTGTAACTATATTAAGAGGTAAAACTTTTAACAGGTGATTAGGACGTGAGGGCTTCACCCTCATAAAGGAATTAATGCTGTTATTGTGGGAGTGAGTTGGTTATTGTGGAAGTGAGTTCCGGATTAAAATGAATAATTAGTTCAGTCCAATTTCCTCTCTCTGCCATGTACACCCACTTCCCCCTGTTGCCTTCTACCATGGGATGACCCTCACCAGATGCTGGCACCGTGTTCTTGGACTTCCCTGCTTCCAGAATCAAAAGGCAACTCAATTTCCATTGTTTTAAAATTACTCAGGCTCAGCAGAATTTTAGCAGCAGAAAATAGACTAAGACAACAGAATGGATAAATTTTAAGAACTAAGTGGTAGGGCAACCCCCTCGGGTCATCTCCCACTGTGGAAGCTTTTCTGTTCTCTCAATAAATCTTGCTTTTTCAACTAAAAAAAAATACATAAATTAAAAAAAATAAAAGAACTAAGGGGTGGAAATAATCATGAGAAGTATCAGTTAAGTACTTTTGAAACTCACATAAATTAACTGAGTGTCTTTATTCCTAAAGGTCAAGAGAGGTAGAGATATACCACTTCGTATTTCAATTGTATATCCCTAAGATGTCAGTTAGTGTTTCCCTATGCCCAACTGTGACAGATAAACTCTTAAGGTGGCCCCCATGACCTCTGTCTCCTAATGTTCACATCTTTTTGTGATCCGTTCCATTTGAGTATGGGTAGGACCTATGACTTGCTTTTATCTTATTTATTTATTATTTTTATTTTATTATTTATTTATTTTTTGAGTCAGAATCTCACTCTGTCACCCAGGCTGGAGTGTAGTGGCACGCTCATGGCCACTGCAGCCTCGACCTGCTGGGCTCAGGCAATCCTTCCGCCTCAGTCTTCCAAGTAGCTGGAACTATGGCTGTGTGCTACCATGCCCAGCTTATTTTTTATTTTTTATTGTAGAGATGAAGTCTCACCAAATTGCCCAGGTTGGTCTTGAACCCCTGGGTTTAGGCAATCCTCTTGCTTTGGCCTCCCAAAGTGCTGGTATTACAGGCTCAAGCCACTGCACCCAGCCTTATTTTTTATTTTTTAAGTTGGAGTCTCACTCTGTCGCCCAGGATGGAGTACAGTGGCATGCTCAGGGTCACTGCAGCCTCAACCTGCCAGGCTCAGACGATCCTTCTGCCTCAGCCTCCAAGTAGCTGGAACTACAAGCACATGCCACCATGCCCAGCTAATTTTTGTTTTAAATTTGTTGTAGAGATGAGGAATCACCAAGTTGCCCAGGCTGGTCTTGAACCCGTGGGCACAGGCAAGCCTTTCACCTCAGCCTCCCAAAGTGCTGGGATTATAGGTGAGAGCCACTGCGCTCGGCCTGACTTGCTTTTAACTAATAGAATATAGCAAAGATGATAGCACACATGTGATTTTGAGTATATGAGTAATGATTATATTACATAATGTTGCAGCATTTGTCTTATTAGAGTCCCTTTCGGGCTTGGAGAAAGCAAGCAACCATGTTGGTGAATTTCAGGTGGCTTCTCGCACAGTCATTCAAAATCTAAAGCTACTAACAACCACAAATAACTCAATATTGCCAACAACTGTGGGAGTAAGAAGTAGATTCTTCCCTAGTCAGGATTCCAGATGAGAATTTAGTCCTGGCTGAGGCTAAGCATATGACCCACTCATGCACAGACTCCTGACCTACAGAAACTATGAAATAATAAAGTATATTGCATAAGCCACTAGGTTTGTATAATATTGTTGTGAAACAACTAACAGCTTTTCTGTATCAATATAACTCCAATTTTTCCTGCTCAGTCCTCTATGATCATTAAATCACTCATGTATTCAAGTTATACCTAGTCTTCTCTTTCTCTGGGTAGATAGAGTAAATGTCTAAATATAAAATTTGATTTTAATTCTTTTGATCATTTCCACTTCTCTGACCCATTCAATTTCTCCTTATTTTTATTTAAAGTATTAAAACATATCTGGGCAATAAACAATAAGCAGTGATATTTCTCATTTGATAAGTATTCAGTATAAGATAACTGTTATTATCATCATCAACATCATCATCATCATTGTCATAATTTTCAGACTTTTAGCTTTTTAAATTGTTAGTTTGCTTGGCTATCATTCTATCAAACTACAAAGTATTTGAATATAAGGACTATATCTTATTATTTATGAATATCCATCAAAAACATTATATTATAAATATCATATGTAATTATATATTCAATATTTTCTATAAAAACACATACTGAATGAATAAAATCAAGAGAGATAACAACTTTGATTTCAATTAAAAATTGAATAACCTTGCATGATTAGCTCATTATAAAACTATATCAGCCGGGCTCGGTGGCTCAGCCTGTAATCCTGCGCCTTTGGGAGGCTGAGGTGAGTGGATTGCCTGATCCCGCGGGTTCGAGACCCGCCTGGGCAACTTGGCGAGACCTCATCCTACAATAAATCCAAATGAGCTGGGCGTGGTAGCGCGTGCCTGTAGTTCCAGCTACTGGAAGGCTGAGGTGGAAGGATTGCCGGAGCCCAGCAGGTCGAGGCTGCGGTGGCCGGAAGTGGCCACTGCACTCCAGTCTGGGTGACAGAGTGAGACTCCCAACTCAAAAAAAAAAAAAATAACAAAAAAAACTATGTCAACATTCTATAATCGTCAATTGACAGATTAATGTTAAGCTTAGTGATATGTAACTAATATTTTTTTTAGTTTAAAATGAAATACAAGATTGATCTGTTTCATTTCAAAATAAAGATTAATAGTTCTAAGACAAGAATGCCCACTCAGGCTAGGATGGAAGTCCCAGCAGAAAGAAATCAGGGGTATGCAAATAGGAAAAGAAGTTAAGTAATCCCTCTTTGTGGATGATATGATTCTATACCTAGAAAACCCTCCTCGCACTGATAGACACCTTTGGTTAGGTCTCAGGATACAACATCAACATGCAAAAGACTGTTGCATTTCTATATACCAACAACAAGCAGGCTGAGAACCAGATAAAAGACACAATTCCATTCACAATAGCTACAAAAAAATGAAATACCTTGGCATTCACCTAACCACAAAAGTGAAAGACCTTTACAATGAGAACTATGAAACAGTGCTCAGAGAAATTAAGGATAATACAAACAAATGGGAAAACAACCCATGCTCATGAATTTGAAGAAGTATTGTCAAGATGTCCTACCCAAGGCAATCTACAGATTCAATGCAGTTCCTATCAAATTGTCAACATCATTTTTCAGACCTAGAAAAGACAATACAGAAATTCATATGGAAACCAAAAAAAGAGCAAGTAGCTAATGCAATCATTAGCAAAAGGAACAATGTTGAAGATATCACACTTTCAAACTTTAAACTTTATTACAAGGCTGTAGCAACCTGTATTGGTACAGGAATAGGCACATAGACCAATGGAACAGGACAGAGAATCCAGAAATAAAAACATGGTCCCTCAACCAACTCATCTTTGACAAAGTTATCAATAATAGACATTGGAAAAATAATAAACATTGGAAAAGGCACCATATTTATCAAATGGTGCTGGGAAAACTGGCTAGCCACATGCAGAACAATGAAACTGAACCCCTGCCTATCACCATATACACAAATTAACTCAAAATGGATCAAGGACATAAATGTAAAACCTCAAATTATAAGAATCATAAAAGAACATCTAGGAAACACCCTCCTAGACATCAGAGTAGGCAATGAATTCATGGCCAAGTCCTCAAAAGCAAATGTAATAAAAGCTAAGAGAGCCAGGAGAAACTTTATCAAACCAAACGTTTTTGCATAGCAAAAGAAACCATCAAGCGAGTAAAGAGACCAACCCATGGAATGGGAAAAAATTTCAAACTATGCATTCAAAAAAGGCCTAACATCCAGTTCCACAAGGAACTCAAATGAATTGAAAGGAAAAGAATAAACAACCTCATTAAAAAGTGGGCAAAGGACATGAACAGACACTTCTCAAAGGATGACATATAAGCAGCCAACAAATACATGAAAAAAATGCTCAGCCTCACTAACCATCAGAGAAATGCAAATCAAAATTACAATGAGATACCACCTAACATTGGTAAGGATGGCTCTCATTAATAAGTCAGAAAACAGCAGGCGCCAGTGCAGCTGTGGAAAAAAGACTTTAAACTTCATTACAAGGCTACAGTAACCAAGACAACATGGTATCAGTACAGCAAAAGGCACATAGACCAATGGAACAGGACAGAGAATCACTTGACCAACAAGGATCTCCCATAATTAAAAGTTTCAGTGATTACTCAAGAAGAAAGTATGTAGAATGAGAACAGTCACTTGAGGAAAAATTCCAGAGAACGTTCAACACTTTAAAAAGAAGAAAATAAGCTCAAGAAGGTTATAAAGAATAAACGACAAGAAGATGCAAGGCATTCACTAATTCATATGGCAGCTCATTCTATTTTACTAAATCTATTTGTTGGTGAACTCTTCTTTGCATTTAGTTGAAATCTCCCTCTGAAATATTTTGCCCCTTGTTACAGCTATTGGAACTACATAGAATGAAATTTTTAAAAAGTTTGTAATATAATAACTCTTTAAATATCATACTAGAAAACGGTCATCCTAAAAATGATAGCTACAATGTGATTAACTAATGTGTGCTGAGATGAGCACTCAGAGAGATCAGGTAATATGTCCTAAGCCACACCAAAGTCCATGTTCTTTCCACTGTGCCATGTTATATTCACTATACCTCTACATTTTCTCATCTTTAGACTAACATCCTCCTAACTCCCTGCCTCTAGTCTTGCTCTTCCTAATTCAGTCCCCTTACTGCTATCAGAATAGTCTTTCTAAAACACAAATCTGAATATATTATTTCTCCTGCTTAAAATATTTTAATGGGTTTCCAGTGTACTTAAGATACACAAACTCCTTAACAAGACTTACAAGCCTGTCATGATATACCCACATCTTATCTTCTCAGTTTCATCTCTCCTAACTACCCTACCCAACCACTCTGAGTCTCACCTCTCTCTCTCCAACCCACATTCTAATATCCAGTTACATAATTAGATAAGCTGTCTATTTCTAAAACATGGCATCCTCTCTTTTGGATGAGGGGCCTCATAAATGCTGTTTCCTCCATAGGGAACATGTGGAATACTATAGCCACTGCGCCCTCCACTTTTGCACAACAGCCTTCATTTTTCCCTCAAGCCTCAGCTTAGAAGTTACTTCTTCCATGAAGCTTTCCTTGAAAGGTTTCCGCTGAAACCTAGGCTTCTTGTCCCTACTATGTATTTCTTTAGTATCCTGACTCAATGCCAACATGACCTTTGAATATTCTTCAAATCTTACTCAAGGGTCTGAATTCTCACTACTAGTGTGGAAACAGGATAACCAAACAGCACGGAGTACTACACTACAGAATATCTATGCATAAAAACTGTAACTATTACCTGGATAAAATAAGGTGATTATTTTTTCCCTTTAACCAGATTTTTTAAAGATCAAATTTTACAGAAACTTATATTTTAAAGACTTGCCAAAGAGCTTCCAAATTGACTTAAAACTATTGATAGGTGACATCTTTTAAAAGGGCTCTACATATAATACTTCTAATCACTCAAATTCCCACTTACTTTTTTTATTAACCTTATTGCATTTACCAGAAGAAAGATAAAGCAGCAATACAACAATATGCTTTCTAAAAGCTACATACTCACTCACCTGAAACCCCACAATGAGAGTGCTCATACAGATGCCGTTGCTGAAGGGCAGACTTTTTGTAAATAACATGAGGATGGCCATTTTCATAATTAAAATGCTTGGAATCTTCTGTGGTATTCTTTAATGGTTCAATAAAATATTCTTCATCTTCTGTAGCAATAACTCCATGCTAGAAGAAAATAAACCAATGACTTCACATCACATCAATGAGAGTACCTGATCCTAATCCAGGTGAGGTGAGGTCCAACGGGAGGCCCAAACTTCACCTGTATGTAAACCACTCATGTACCCAATCCTGACTTGTACCCCGCATCTTTATAAACAAACAAACAAACAAAAACAAAGAACTTACCAAGAAGAATCATTCTAAGCATTACTTATTATTACCAGGAGTTAAAAATAAATAGACACCTCTCCAAACAAGGGATTAAAACACATGATTAACGACTTAGTGAATTATCTGTACACAGTAAAACATTATATAAATGCCCCTATTTATCTATTTATTTTTATTGTAGAGGCAAGGTCTCGCCAAGTTGCCTGGGCTGGTCTCAAACCTATGGGTTCAGGCAATCCACTCACTTCAGCCTCTCAAAGTGCTGGGAGTACAGGCTGAGCCACCGAGCCTGTCCAATGTCCCTAGTCTTTAAAAAGGACATGTAAATATCTCTACATGTTATGCACTATACTAAGCATGTCTCACACATAATTTCCTTCAATCTTTCCAACAGGTCTGTGAGGTATCAGAGATCTTCATATAAGCATTAAAATGTATTTTCCTTCTAAAACTGTGCACATAACTTAACTATATTCTCTGTGTTTAGGTATAGATTTGTGATTGGGTTTTGGCCGATAATAAATGGGCAGAGGGCTATATATACCACTTTCAGCACAGCCTCTGAAGACCTCCCTAGTGGAATTCTCCACTCTCTCTTTCCACAATGCCAAATAAATGGAGAAAACTTCAAAGTCCTAGAACATAATTAATATTTCCTTAATTAACATACATTCCCATTTTGCAGATGAAGTAACAGGCTCAGAGGTTAAGAATTTTTCCAGTATTATATGAAGGTAAGTGAAGGTGCTGAAATTCAATCAAAGCTTTGCTCTTAGAAGAGTAAAACTGTACTCCTACCTATTACTACATACAACAATTAACTCAAAATGGATCAAGGACTTACATGTGAAACCTCAAACTATACGAATCTGAGAGGAAAATTTCAGGAACATCCTCCTGGAAATAGGGGCAGTCATTGAATTCATGGTCAAGTCCTCAAAAGCAAATGCAGCAAGAGCTAAGATTGACAGATGGAATCTTAACAAACTAAAAAGGTTTTGCACAGTAAAAGAAACTACTAAGAGAGTAAAGAGACAGCCCACAGAATGGGAAAAAATATTTGCAAGCTATCCACCCGACAATCTGATAAAAGCCTAACATCCTGGATTTACAGGGACTCATACATTGACAAAAAAAAAAGTTATAACGTGGGCAAAAGACATGAACAGACACTTCTCAAAAGAAGGCATTTGAGCAATCAAGAAACATGAAAAAATGCTCAGCCTCACTGATCATCAGAGAAATGCAAACCCAAACTATAGTGAGATACCACCTAACACCAAGAAGGATGGCTATCATTAAAAAGTCAAAAGAAAAGTGTTGATGTGGCTGCAGAAAAAAGGGAACGCTTTACACTGTTGGTGGAAATGTAAGCCAGTTCAACCTTTGTGGAAAGCAGTGTGGTGTTTTCTCAAAGAACTAAAAATTGAGCTACCATATAATCCAGCAATCCCACTTCTGGGAACATACCCAGAAGAACATAAATCAGTTTTACCAAAAAGACACCTGTATACCTATGTTCATTGCAGCACTATTCACAGTAGCAAATACATGAAACCAACCAACATATCCACTGAAAGTGGACTGGATAAAGAAAATGTGGTACATACAAACAATGTAATACTATGCAGCCATAAAGAACAAAATCATATCCTTTACAGTAATATGAATGCAGTTGAAGACGATAATACTAAGTGAACTATCACAGAAACAAAAAGCAATACCATGTGTTCTCACTCCCAAGCAGGCCCTGATCACTGGACACATGAGCACACAGGTGGGCACAAAAGGCACTGGACAGTGCTAAAAGAGGAAAAGGGACAAGGGCTAAGGGACACACAACCACACACTGGATACCAGGTCCACTACTGGGGGAGAGAGGGCTTGGTAGAATCCCAAACCTTACCTGTACACAATTTACTTACGTAGTAAATCCTCCCATATATCCCACAACTAAATAAAATAAAATCTCTGCTCTTATTCCCAGTATTATATTACTTATTTACTTAAGCAAGTCCTACTCAGCTCAGTCACACCTCCTCTTTAAAACGGTCTCTAGTCTAAATGTAATAGCTTCACCCACCACTGAGATCCAATACAGTTTAAGATCGGTATCGATTAATTTCAGTTAATTCCATACTGTTTTGTTGCATTTCAAGTCTTAAAGTCTTATTTAATTTTTTTTTTTTTTGAGGTGGAGTCTCTGTCGCCCAGGCTGGAGTACAGTGGCAAACTCACAGCCACCCCAGCGTTAACCTGCTGGACTCCAGCGATGCTTCTGCCTCAGCCTTCCAAATAGCCAGAACCACAGGATCATGCTACCATGCCCAGCCAATTTTTAAAAATTTATTGTAGAGACAAGGTCTTGCCAAGTTGCTCGGGCTGGTCTCAGACCCGTGTGCTCAGGCAATCCACTAGCCTTGTGTTCCCAAAGTGCTGAGATTACAAGCTGAGCCACCAAGGCTGGCCTTATTTAAATTTGATACAACTTTTCAACTGCAAGTTTCATCTTCCCAACTAGACTATTTGCTTTCTTAAGGCAAGAGTTATATCCCACATATTTTTGTATCAGTTGTAACTGTAGAAAGTGTCACATATGTAGTAGGTACAAATAAAAGTTCACTGATAAAAACAAATAAGATAGTAAAAGTTATCTACATAAGAAATAAGAATTTCTACCCTTGTCTAATAGAGTTTTCCTAAGTATAGCACACATAAGGACAGCTCTTAATCCAACTAATTTATCCTGTAACACTGGATAAAACACAAACTCTCTGGGTGTATTTCCTCAGCTGGAAAAATGAAAGGGTGGGTCTAAATTAGTGGTTTTAAAACAGCACTCTAGGGAGCCCTAAGGGTTCCATGGAAGTGCCCTCAGGGGATTGCCCTAGACAACAAAGAGAAACCTACATGTCTTGGATTCCTGGGCTTAGGAATCAGCTGTGCTTTTATTAATCTATATATTATGTTTCCACATAACATTTCATTTGAGAAAACTGTTTTGCCACTTTAAAAAGAACAAAAAGTTGAAAACCTCTGGTCCAGATAATCTCTAAGGTCCCTTTGAAATATAACTTCTATGACTCTGTTTAGGGAAATTCATGTCAAGTACCACATGCTTGGAAGGAATAAGACATAATCAGAGCTGCTCAAATTTATAGATGAAGTTGGCAGTCACCTATATAAAATGAGGTGAGGAATACAAAAAAAAAAAAAAAGCAGCCCTAGTCATTTCATATTATATTATTTTCACCATTGTTTGCTTTCTTTAAGAATAATAGTCCCTATATTAAATGCAAATACTGACAGAAATAATGTAATATGTCATTAAAAGACTCTAAAACCTGAGCATGAATTACTTTACCAGGTAGCTTAACAACGTACTAGAAACCTGAGCACAGTTCCTGCAGAAAAGGAAGAAAGTACAAGTTTTGATAAGAAGGAAGTGTAGGAAGTAGAGTCTACTTCCTAATACTGTGATAGTTGAACAGAAACCTAAATAAAGTGAGGGAGTAAGTTAAACAGATATTTCAGGAAAGAACAGACCAGATAGTGGGAACAGCAAATGCAAAGGCAATGAGGTAGGAGCGTGCTTGCAGTATCTGAGAAACAGCCAGGAGCTACAGCTACTGGAGGAAGGGAAGAAGAGAATGATCCTGCAACTAGGAAGGGGCTGAAGACCAGATGATGGAGGACTTAAATTTAGTGGAAGTCCCAGAATCTGTACATTCCTGACAAGAGTTCTGCTCTCACTTCTCTGCATCCCCATTCACTTTTACACGATCTGCCTCAGGACCATTATGGATAAATCTAATCAATTCCTTGCCATACTAATTCCTAGAAGAAGCCCAAGCCTGGATTCTAATTGCCATATGGTTATGCACACATGTTTTCTGATCTCATCTCCTATCTCTTCCTATCATTTAAAACACTTCCATACCCTCTCAAATTCAAAGCCAATCATCAACAAAATCTTCTATACACTCAGCCTCACCTGTGAATATTCACTTCATCTTACTCTAACAAAAACCTGAGTCTCCCTAAAGGATATTCCTTCCCTGTAGTCCTTTGGAACGGGGGCTGCTTTCTCTTCTACAGGTCTCCTATAGGACATGGAAGCAGGATAATGTTCTTGTGACTCATTGTCACTTCCAAACAATCCTCTTTCCCGCCTCAAAAAAAACAAAACACTGGCATTGAACTTCACACCATTATATCCCCGTTTTTGTAGTTACGGTTATCTATTGATCCCAAGTTAGCCCCCTCATTCCTTAAAAATATCAGCTTCTGGATCACTGTCACTCTCTGCAATATCAATCCTGAAACAGTTGACTTAAATATCTTCTTATATCATGAGTTCTTAAACTTTGTTTATGTGCACATCCCTGAATCCCTTTGGAAGTCTAGGGGTAAAACCTAAGGACCAGCCGGGCTCGGTGGCTCAGCCTGTCATCCTGCACCTCTGGGAGGCTGAGGTGAGTGGATTGCCTGAGCCCGCGGGTTCGAGACCCGCCTGGGCAGCAAGACCTCATCTCTACAATAAATCAAAAAATTAGCTGGGCATGGTAGCGCATGCCTGTAATTCCGGCTACTTGGAAGGCTGAGGTGGAAGGATCGCCGGAGCCCAGCAGGTTGAGGCTGCGGTGGCCGGGAGCGGCCACTGCACTCCAGTCTGGGAGACAGGGTGAGACTCCAACTCAAAAAAAACAAAACAAAACAAACAAAAAAAACCCTAAGGACCACTTCTTAAAATATTTTAAATGCAAAAAAAAGATTACAAATAAAATCAATTATAGTGAAATACAGTATCCAAATATCTTTAAATATAACAT